TATTTGGTTGCTTTTGTTGTTTTATTTTTTTTTCGTCTGGGCTGATTAGCAGTTGCTGACAGCGGGAGCCCATAAAATATTTGATTACTTTAATTGATAAAGTTTTGTTTTGCGCTCAGTTCTAAAATGTATTATAAAAATACTCACACACACACACACACACACACACACACACACACACACACACACACACTCACATACCAATGGACTGATAAGCAAAGTGGCAATAACAAGCATTCTTTAAATAAAGCAATCCCATTCCAATTTGAGTAACACATCTATTGGAGAACTCTCTACACGAGTTATTGCATAATTATCAAATTTTTTCATACGTGGTATCTGCAAGTCTTGCGATTCGAGTATCCCCTATGCTAATAAATAATGTAAATTATACAATTAGCATTTACAGCGTTAAAAAGCTCATGAAAAGCTTTTTAACACATAGTTTGAATATGAGCTTAGCCAACACGGTTGCTGTCTTGGCTAAGTGCTTTGTTGGTAAACATGTTGCGCTTGGTGTCTATGGCAACAAATGTTGCTAACGTGTTGAATTTATAGTGTGGTGAATAGCTGACGCTGAATTGAGAGAGAGCTGAATATAAAGAAAAAACTGAAAATGTGTGGTGTGTTAAAATGCCGGTAAAACAGCTGTTTGCGTTATTTGTTACGTTATCAGCCCGGCGCAGCCCACAAGATCAAAAGCGGTGCGACTGCAACACGAGCAAAGGGAATAAATAAGTAAATGGATACAAATAATTAATAAAAAAGCATTGAAAAGTTAGGCCGATTAAAATGGATCGAAAAATTTAAAATATATTTATAGTAATATGTATGCACGCATATACATATATATATATACAAAAGCGCAATTATCAATTTGACGAGCTGCGACGAGCTGAAGCGTCAACTCGAGACTGAAAACGAAGTTCAACGAAACCTTTGCTGACTGCGTTTTGTGGCCGAAGTTTATTTATTCCGCCACGATAAGTCCCAAAAATAACGACAACAACGAAAACTGCCAAAACATGCGAATATGCCAAACAAAGGGTAAACGCAAAACATACAACTTTGTGTATATATATTTGTTGTTGTTGTGTTGTGTAAAATACGCTTACAATTAGCAAAGCTTTAGAAGAACTGAAGCATAAGGTAGACGACATTTAACTTTACCATTGTCTGTGTGTGTGTGAGTGTGACCTCATCTTACACAAACATATAGACACACACACACACACACACACATGAATGTGCTCGCTTGACTCTACAGGTGCGCGAATTGGTGAGAAAGAGAGCGACAATTTTGAGGTGATTAACGATCCGCGCTCGATTGCTTAAGAATCTTCAAAAAGTTTATAAGTACAGTGAAAGTTCGGCTAACGGATAGCTGACTTTGATGAAAATTGCTTTGTGAGAACTTTGTTGCGAATCCTATTAGCTTTATATCGAAGCGTATCTTTTAGTTCATATAAACAAAGAAAAGATTTTTTTGACAAAAAGTATCTTTATCTAATGGAAAAACGCGCATGAAAATAAAATAACAGCTACGTCTATACGAAAGTTATCACATATAAATTTTCATCCCACCTATAAACATATAAATATATATTAAGTTGGAAAATCATGAATTCATGAATATAATATAATATCAAAATTATATATTTAATAGTAGAGCTATGCCTTAATGTTTAACTGTGCTTTTGAGCTTTCTCTGTATCTAACTGCAGGCCAAGGCGACATGATGTACAGCAGCTGATATACATATCTATATGAATATATATATAGCCAAGCTGATCCATAAAGCTGTCGGACGTTTAAGGACAAAAATCAAAGCCAAACGCAATGCAATTCGCAAAAGTGAGCGGCGACTAGAAAACAACAAACAAAACGCCAGCTAATTGACCCATTTGACAAACTTATAGATACACACAGACACAGACACAGATGCATAAATATAAATACATATGCAAATGCATATGCAGCGCTACAAAAATGGAAAACATTTCGTGACATGATCTACAAGAAAAGCAAAGCAAAAAACAAAATAAGAACAGCAGCAAAATTATGCATTAAAAACGCGAATGGAAAATAAAAATTCGCATTAGTCACCCCATACAATGAATGTGTGTATAAAAATACGTACGTATATAAATATGTATGGCACATAATACATAAATATAAATATTTACATACAAAAGTATTTAAATTGCAATTTGCGTGGAAAAAATACACAAATTTGGTGCAGGCGCATTTATTGACGGCATTCGGGGACTTCGATTTTTAAAAATAAAAAACGATTGCAGTTTCATTTTGAGTTGTTAACGACAGTCGGATACCCTATGAAAAGTGAGGACACATCATTTGCGCAAGTTTTTCATGTGGGAGTTAAAAACAAATGGGTTTGAACCAGAAAGAAGAGTAAATCGGAACTGAATCATAGTTGTTCTAAAAGTAACATTCACACTAGCAATTATATTCATTTCGGAGTTAATTCGAAGAGGAAAACGACAAATAAAATTAGTAGGAATGTGAAAAATTGAAGTTGAGTTGAGGAATGTGATAAGCCAGGTTCACGAATCGAACCATCAAAATTTATTTTTAGCATTAATAAGCATTCGACTACACTCTACACTTATACCAAATGTGTAGGACAGTCGTGCAAGTCCTTGGTCCACTTCAGTAAAGGGTATAAGCAGCCATAAAGTGTTGCCCAGTGTATACACAATTTATAAATATTTAAGCTAATTTGAACGCATGTATTAAAATGAATACATATTCATAAAATGCATTGCTTAATTTTGAGTTAAGACTTTGAGTGGAAAAAAGAGAAGCATCTTCTTTTTTTCGCCCCTTTTTGCACGTCGATTGACCCGATTGAGAACGAAAGCTTTTTAGAAAGTAGCAATAGTTCATAGTATTATAGAGAGTTTTGAATTTATAATGAACTGCCGAAGAAATGCGACACTAATTGCCACGAGCTCATTTGAGTGGAAACAAACTCGACTGCGAGTAACCCCGTGATATAATCTTTAATTGCATTCAATCAAACAATGAAAACGATTTCATTAAACGATTCCATCAAAACTTTTAAAAACAAAGTACGAATTCATTAACCTAACTCAGTTTTGATTTGATATGGAAAAGTTTTGAATTCATTTTCTAATACAGTCCTGAACATTTAATAATCTATATTAGGATTATTTTTGAATAAGCTTAAAAACTGCAAACGAATTGTGGAGTAAATAAAATAAACCAAGCAAATCCTAAAAAGGTTTCTGTTTATTGAAAAACATGCATTGAACTTTGTCGTTGGAAAATTAAAATAGAGCCCTATTTTATATTATAAACTTACTAGCTCTAAATAATATCTGAAAGTTTGTGGACGAAAGCAAAACAGAACTGAGGAACTGGTGACAAACACGATCTGCATAATACATTCTTGAAAGCTCTACAAATTAAGCATTTAGGAATCGCATCGACAATAGCCGCAGACAACTTATTCGTTTGTCTAATGGAAAAAACTAAAAACAAAGCCGCACAATTTTAATGACAAGTCGACAACTCGGTCGAGCAAGTCAACCAAAGGGCAGGCGCCCCTTCATTAGCAAGTCGTGGATTCAAGTAGCTGACACTGTTTAAATATTTTGAAACGAGAACGCACACACAACACAACACACACATATATAACTATAAATATATATAGATATATATCTATATCTATGTTGTATGCATAAGACGCTGTTTGTTCTGATTGATGGATTGATTGACGAACAGCTTAAACTCTAAGAGCTAGGTAGCACATTTTGAACTGTTTATTTCCTGAAATTGGTGAGGAAACGTAGAACACATTCATTCGCTGTACCTATTGAAACTGTATATATTCTTGAGTTGTTTAAGACATATCTAGAGCTAGAGACTTAAAACTTGATGTACATATTCTCCCATGCCATACTTAAAACGAGGCAAATCATCAAAACTCGTGACAAAAATATTGATAAAAATAGATTTTAAGACTTGGCTTTTTGGCATAGCTCAAAAACTATCAGAGCTAGTCACATTAAATTTGGTATTTACGCTCTTGTAAAGATTGGGATTATTTCACTTTTTGACTTACTCCCCCCATTTTAACAAAATTACCTTTGAGACCTTTGAGAGAGACCTTTGATTTGGTATATACATACTCATTCAAATGCCACAAAGATCATGAAGATCGGACAAAGAAATAGACGTTTTACAACACTAAATTATCAAAAGCATTGCGCAGGTGAAAGAGGCAGCTCTTCAGCTGTTTTTTTGTGCTTAAATGTATCTTTAAGTACCTGCATAGGCCATGGAATTCATATGGGCTATATTTTATGATTTGAAGAATTCAAAGCGTGGCCTAATTAATCAAAATATTAGATTGAGAAGTACAGGGGATTTTATAGTCAGCCAAAGTCGACTAAGCCGTTCTTTCTTGCTAGTGCTTGTCTTTTTACACAGACCGTTTTGATAGTCGGATTGAGACATGTTTTACCCTTTATGGAAAATCCGCATCCACTTCAGGAAGAAGAATGAGCAGGTGTACTTAACGTGACGTGTACCCCAAAGGGATTTGCTAACATATGCACATATTAGGACAAAAAATATTGAATAACACGAGTCGAAATACGTTGATTATCTCCTCTCAAACAAATATTCCTTTCGGAGCTAAATGAATGCATGTTGGTCGAACATATAAATCTCCCTAGTGTGGGAAATAATAATTAATATAAATAGCAAAATGTGGAGTACATATTTTGAAAATTGCTTCAAATAGCCCTCATCCGGTCAAAAAATGCACTTGATTGCGTTTTTCGTCCGATTGACTTCAAGCTTAATGTTAGGAAACCCGATTTTAAATATTATGAATTATACCTTGACCGTGCAAAGCTGGGTAATACTTGCTTGTATCTAGTGGATACATTTGAAATGCTTGCATTTGAGTCGAGACAAGGCTTTAGCTTAGAACTGTTAAGAGTTACCTCCTCGACGACTTCCACCTCGTTGACAATGCCAAAGGGCTCATCGCTGGTCAAGCCCTCCACTTCGCAGGCATTCGCGACGCCCGAGCAGGCGGCTGCCTCTGCATCAGAGCTATCCTCGCCGAAGAGGCGACTCAACAGCAGATCCTCTTCCTCATCCTCATCCGAATCCGGTCCGAATTGCTGCACGGTCAAGCTGCCCGAATTGCTGGGATGTGGCGTGCTGTCGTTGAGCGCATTCGGAGCATCCGCTTGATGCTGGCCAAGCGCATTGGCGCCGCCCGCAAAGCCATGGATGAAGGCAGCCAGACTGAGATCCAGCTGGGTGCTGTTGTGCGGCTGCTGCTGGCCATCCTTGAGCGGCAGATGGGCATACGGACTGCTGTAGGGCAGATCGCCATAGTCATGCAAGTCGGCCAGATTCTGCTCCCAGATCGAACGCTGATCCTGCAGTAGGTCGGGCGACAGGAATATGTCCAGTTCGGGCGAGGCGGCCAGGGTATTATTGTTGCTCGTGGTATTGATGTGGATTTCACCCAGTCCTGCCGCGCCCGCACCGCTGCCCGCTGTGCTGGCTGTCGTCGTGGTGCTGCCCACGCCCACGGCGCTGCCTGAGCTGGTGCCGCTGCCGGCAGTACTCTGTAAATCCTGCAGTGCAGCGGTCTGCACGCTGCTGTTGCCCGTCGTATTGTGCAGATTCATGACCAGGGTGCTGGCATTGAAGCTGCCCGTGGGCAGCTTATACTCCTTGCCGCCGCCGTCGCTGGCGCCCGCCCGATGATGAGGATGATGATGATCATCATCGTAGCGCAACAGATCCTCGAGCAGCGGCATCATGCCCTTGCGATTGCCATACGGTTGCTGCGTCTCAATTATGGGCACCGTGCGCAACATTTCCAGCTCCCAGCCATCGCCATGCGGCAGCTCCAGCTGCGCATCCCAGCGTCGCAGGCGATGCTGCAGCAGCATATAATCCGTGTCCACATGCAGCAGACTCAAGGCCAGCGCCAGCTGCAGCATTTTCATGGCATACGCCTTTTTGTTTGAGATCATTTTTGGTGCCGAGGTTAACAGCGAGATGGAGAGATGACTGAGTGAATGTATATGTGGGTGGGTTTTGTGTTTGTTGTTGTTGTTGCTGTTGTTGCTGCTGTTGTCTTTGACAAGCGACAGTTGCTGATTCAGTTGGTTGTTGTTGCTGCTGTTGTTGACCCACCTCCTCCTCCTCCTCCTCCTCCTCCACACGCCCGGCCAGACAACAGCGCGCTGGCTGCGCCGTCCGCGCGTTCAATGGCGTTTCCTTGCGGCGCTTTACTTGAGAATATATGCTTTATACATATATACAGCTAAATACATATATAGATGTATCTATGTGTGTGTAAATCAAGCTGCGCAAAAACAAATTCGTATTTGTTTAAATCGCAATTCTCCTGCTAAAATGATGGTCACTATTCGTTATTATTTTTGCCGTTTTTGTTGTTGATTTAATTAATAAATGTCCTTGTGTTCGTTTTGTTTCACTGCAAATATAAAAACATAAAGGTTAAATATTAGTGCATTTAGTTAATCGGCGCGTCAAATATAATTTCTGTTTTAATGAATTGCTTTTGTGGATGATCAAAGAACTGGCCAAGCATTAGGAAATAAACACACACACACACACACACACATATACACATAAAATTATGGATATGTGTAGCTATCTATCAGAAAACATTTCCGACTTGACTATAGAAAATTAACTTCCTAAAACTGACAAAGTGCTCGCATAATAAACAAGTTATTGCATGGGTTATTAAAGAAATTTGTATTATTACAGAAGGTTGATTATTATCAATGCTCAACGTTTATAGATTATCGATTACTGTCGCATATTCCTATTCAAAATCGGATCAAAACTATCCACATATCTGTCTTCCAAAATTTACTTGCAAATTAAAAATCTTTGTTTCCAGAGCTGATTTGAATTGCTGTTAAATCCATTTCTTTGCATACTAAAATCATATACGACTAAGAGATACCCTAACAAACGTTCCCACTTCCTTCACACATGCATGCACAGTGACGCCCACACACTTACAAACATGACACACACACAAGCACACACAACCGCAGCAGGCTGCGTAATTTACGTTGCGGCCATGCTTCTTCTTTCTTCAACCCCACAATATGAAAAATTGATTTTTATAGCTCGATCTTTATAAAATATTCAGGACTTAATGATGGCATTCGAAAGTGTGCTTATGGAAAATCGCGAGACAAAATATTCATGACATGTGTACACAAACCGGGAAATAACCTTTATGGCATATGGTATATGATATATGGTATATGGTATATTCCGGATGGTTGGACTAACTCAGCTATTGATGTTAATCAGAAACCTATGTTATATAGATTTGGTTTTCAAGATATCTTAACTTTACCAAATTAACTTTTGGCCTAAAATATGTGAATCGGCAGACTTCTTGATTACATCTCTTTAAGAATATTCTTAAGGTAACAATTCATTCCAACAATTGGATATTTGTACTCTCTAATAAACCTCTCATATTAATTTAAATAGCTTTGTAAGCTCCAGTAAATCAGATTGGATTAATTTAAATGGTCATCTACTTAAAACTTTGGGGCTCCCCACCTTAGGACGCAGTTTGGGTGTTTGTCTGGCTGCCCCCGCCACAGGCTCAGTTAACCCCACTGGCAGACGACGCAGGCGACCAAAAATAGCGAAACACGCGGCTGCGTGAACTTGAACTTGTTCAAGGTCTTTGGTAAATTTGTGTGACACGAGGGGGGGCGAGCCGGTCAAGGGGTAGGGGTATGAAGCACACAGCAAGACGAATCAAGTTCAAGGAGAGTCGAATTTGTGGGCAACAACAAATTGGCAGAAATGTTAGTCAAAAACGATATAAACATGCTTTGTTTAAAGGCTGCAATCTATATATATATGTATATATATGAGTGTGTGTATGTGTGTGCGAAATACAGTAAAATAAAACAATGTTTGATTAGCACAGACAAAATCACAAAAACAAAAAAAAACGACTACAAATGCAGTGCTCAATAAGCTTTGATGTGACTCGACTAAATGGAGGAGGGTGAGTGAGAGTGAGATGCATATGTGTATGTGTATGTGTGTGTGTTCTGACAGTGCACTCACCTTTTTCTCCACGAATTTCAATTCGCTTTTCGGCTACAAGAAGCGCTGCTGCTGCTGCCTGCTTGTGACTTCAACGGTAAAAACTGCGACGCAATATTGGCTGCAGAGTGCTGTAGGTGAATGATATTTCACCGTTAAAACGTTAGCGCACGCAGTTGACGTCGGTGCCGACGATGCTGTCTTTTTCTCTCTCTCTTCTGCTTTTACAATTGCACGCGGCTTTTTTACGTTTTAATTTTACTTTTCTTTTATTTATCTGTTGCGCTCAATAATTAATTTGTTAGGCTGCAAAAACGTTTATCTATTCATTAGGCAAAAAAATAAAATTGAATGTTTTTTATTTCACAAATGCGTCAAATATTTGCTGACGTCCTTGAACTTGGCCAATGGACTTTCGTAATATCACTTTCCAATGCGATTGAATATTCGGTTATAATGTCTCACACGCACCCACACAAATGCATATGCTTCTTTGTATGTATGCGTGTCTGCAATTTTTTGTTATTGCATTGCGGTAAAGCTTAAATGTTAACTGCTGTCACTGTTACTCTTCACTTCGCTTTATTCTCTTTATACGCACTGCGTATTTGCGTGTGCTTGTGTTTGTGTATGGTGAAATCGGCATTTGTTTAAAAACACACGCATATATCACTTTTTTGTTTAGCAATGTTAATGCTTTTTATGCTTTATGCCTGCACATCGTCATTGATTTTATTGTTTGCTTTTATCGCCATTTTCTGCGTTTTGCCTCTCGGCCAGTCTCTGACTCACAATAACAACGCGTCTGCTGTTTCTTTTTTGCAAGTTTCTTTATTCTCTCTTAACATACACACCAACGTACATGCGTGTACATACATCGATATGACAACAATTAACTCGTACTTTTAATTAAATGCAAAATTATTACATTTTTATGGCAATCAAAGCTCACGCACACACACACACACACATAGCAACATGTCTATGCATAGAAAAAACACAACACACTGCAGCAGCAGCAACAGCCGCTGCCGAAGAACAACAGCGATACACACACTCGCTGAGAGAGGCAAGAGAGAAATGCAGTATAAACAGCAGACTACAATTTTATAGAAATTAAACATTGCTTTTTGTGTGGCCGCTACTCGTGCATAAATAGAAACTTCGAGAACAACAATTCGTAAGCTTGAACTTTGCTTCCGAAATGTATTTATTAAACAATTCCATTTTGGCAGCAATTTCATTAGTTCTATGCAGCTTGCAACATGTCAGCTGAGCGCCACATCAGAGAGCATATTGCTGAATTGAGTGGCTTTGACTGTTGCTAGCCTGTTGTTGTTCACCACATCACAATGAGGTTGCATATTTATTTAGATTTTTGGTTTATTGCAAAGTTGCAGTTTGTAAAAGAGCAATGAAAAACACGAGTTATTAAAAGTTGTTACGCTTTAGCACACACAATCATACGAAAGGTCCCATACAAACACACACGCGCACACACACACATAACATTTAGTTTTCTTATATTTTGCACTTTTACCCGGTTTCTTTTGCTTATTATTCGCCGTTGAGAAATTATTGCGACTTTCTCTGTGTGTTGCGTATTCGTTAGCTTACAAATATATTAGCACACAAACATACATAAAAAACGTGTTTTTTATTGTTAACTTGCGTTGGTTTTCTTCTTTTCACAATTTCTTCACGACTCGGCGAACGCCTGACAGACGTCTGCTCACCGCGCTTTTAAAACAACAAATATAATTTATAGCAATTATGGCATGTCTCTGCCATAAAGCAGAGTGCTGTTAAGCTTACAGTAGCCAATTAACAGCTGTTATCGCTAGCGCTTTTTTTATCGATTTTTACTCAAATTGGCTATGTTAATGCTCAAGTGAGCTGTCAACTAGCTGTTGTTGCTCAGTTGAGCTGTTGGTTTTGGATTTAAGGTGAATATTAGTTTGGGCGAGGTGAAAAGTGTAGAAAACTACCAGAGTAGATAACTAGTATAAGTTAATGCACACAAAGCTCAGAAAGTGGTGTGATGTGGATATAAAGCTTTTTCCGAGCTTTTAACACTGCTGTTGTTTTCAAGTTAAGTGTTACAGCCTCTGTTAATTTTGACATACTGTGTGCCCGCAATTTACAGGTGTAAAAACATATTTTAATTTAGCTACAGGTTCTAAGTAATTTAAGCTAAAGCAATTTAAAGCTTACCAGCGTTTTGAAATTAAAACCACAGGAAAGCAAATTCCGTTGAATTGTTGACGTTTCCAAAGGGGCCTTAGGCGTAGTAGGTTTTTCGACTTCTTTTGCTGATATTGTTGTTGTTGTTGCGGTTGATGTTGGTAACTTTGCCGGCGTTTTTGCTACAGTTGGCTTTATCAGGAGCTTCGGCATCGTCTCCAGTGGCTTGAAAGTTTTCAACGCCTTCGGATTTAGCTGGGTTACGGACGGATTGTAGTCCTCAATCTCCTTCACTGGCGACAGCGATTGCATTCTCGGTAAATCCTCCAAATCGATCATGGCGTATTTTCATTTACTTGTATGAGTCAGCAACTGAAAGTTCAAATATCAGTAAATACTGCACATGGTACAGGGTATATATATATACATATATATGTATGAGGTATATATATATCTATTTATATATGTATAGGTATTTTATATGATTACAGGCTATGTTATTGTCAAAATGTGATAATAAATGTGTTTCCTCTGTTTGTTATCAGTTAACATACACATGCGAATACGTTCACATATGTATGTAACTATCTTTATCAGCCATGCCCACCGACAACCCACAGGGGGCCGGCTACCTTTAGCTCTACACACAGGCTTTACCTGATTGCTAACGCAGACAGGGCTTATATGTGACCATAACTGTGTACACTAAAAAAAAAAGTGCGTCTATAAGTTACCTTATTTAAGGAGGTTTTATAATGAATATTATAATATTATTTTGACAATAAGCTGAAGATTAAACCAAATTGTTCAATTGGTTAAACTGGAAACGGTTTTTGTGGTAGAATCTACAGGTTTTTCAAACCGAACCCGGTGGCAGGGAAGCAAACCTATTTGAATACGAAATCCGCCAACAGAAAAGAGCGTGAAATAAAAATGAGAAAGTAGGCTTAACTTCGTTACGCCGAAGATTTAATACCATTGCAGATATTTGCCTTACGGTTTTGCAGATATGAGATGAGTGAAGCTCGTAAATGCTGAGTTTGATATAAATATCTTGGAAAACAGATTTTTTTGCCATATAAGAACTTAATTTTTGACCGATCGTTGCTGATATAGTCCGATGTTGATAGGATTTTGCTTATATAATAGTGAAACTAATAAAATATCTTAATAAACATAAGATTTTTTCATGCAGGAACCTACTTTTCGACCGATCTTTCCTATGGTAGCTATATGATATAGTGGTCCGATTCAGCTGGTTCCGACATATTTTCATGGAAATAGATTTAAAACTGAGAAACTAGTTTAAAAAAGACAGACGGACAGACAGACAGTCGGGCATGGCTATATCGAGTCGGCTATTGATACTGATCAAGAATATATATATACTTAATGGGGTCCTTCTATGCGTCACACATTTCGAGACAAAGTTATATTACCCTTTGATAGGGTATAAAAACACTCCGTTATACTAGATAGGGCAGTGCCTAATAAAGCATACCCCATTATAATAAGACTTATGGCTTCGCGGCGATAAGATCGTTGTTAAGTCGAAATATTGATAAGTGCGCGTCGCCAGTTTTTTGTTTTATTTATTTTTTATTTTTTGATAAGACAAGTTAGTTTGTACAAAATACACGTGTACCTTTTTATAGACATATATTTAAGAACCATTAAAAAATGCAGATTATAATATGATATAGTTTTAAATAAATGGAAAGTCGCACTTTTATTGTCTTTTGTCAACAGTTTTACAAACGAGTTAGCACAAAAATTGATCAAATTACCCAATTCCTAATTCCTGTTCATATTACAACCTCGTTAACATCCAACAAATGCCAGGGTTAGAAGTACATATGTCATATCATCTGGACTCGAGGCGCATCGATATGGTATTCGAGAGAGTTCGGCTGAGTTTATGTATACCATGTGCTAATTAATTAAATTTAACTGGGATTTCTTTTTTTTGCAAAACCGGTTTAAAATCTTAAGTCTTTGCATTCAACTGCTGAAATTTTGTTTTGTTTATAGGAGGGAACGGTTTTATAGCTGCGCTTTTATAGGTTCTTAAGGTCTATAAATAATATATGTATATATTTATATATACATATGCGTATGCCTAGCTCTTTGATCTTTTGAGGCGTGGACTTAGGCGTTCAGTGCGTTTCTTTGTTGGCCTAGGCTCTATCTTTAAGGCAACTCTTCAAGTTGGCTTTTTGTGCGTGATTCATGCGCAGCTTTTTGCCAGCTCTGTAAACAAAGCGCGCATTTTATGGATCAGTCTGAAAGTCTAGAGATGTTGACTTTTAATTGCGTTCCCAAACGCGTTTCTTTAATTCAAGATTTATCTAATGCGTTAGACCTTCCATTTGGCAGAGCTTTGGAAGCTTTTGATACTTTCGGCAGCTATGCAAATGATGAAATTGATTAAAATTGAAAAGATATTGACCGTGTGGGGCCTCTCAAGAGCATGTCAACAAGGCAAATTAACTGAGCTTTTTAGCGTTAGTGCGAAACCTGTTTCGTTTTCTCATATTTTTATATATTTTTTTTCATGTTTTTATTTTAGCAAGTCCCGCGAAGTAACTTATAAACAAGCATGTGTGCTTAAAAATCCCCATTTGATGTGTCTGAACACGTTCGTAGCTCAAAACAGGCCCATATTTACTTAGGCAATTACCTATTTAGGTATATATATATATATGTGTGTGTGTGTGTGTGTGTGTGTACCCTATAGGGAGGGTACAGTCGGACTAGAGAATTTATAGAGGCTATGATCGTGTCACTAATATTAGCACTCGCTCAATGGCAAATACCCAACCCGTAATTAGACATGTCAACGCAGACACAAATGTGTATCTGTATATTACTGGAATCTTAGGGAAATCGAGCAGATATAGAGTAGTAATTATATTTACAATTGTGGTCTGTAAGATATGCTTGAAAGAACCGCAACACACTCATTAAAATGTTCAATTTGGCATTTTCCATTGCGATGCTACGCAAAATTCTCGGGAATAACAAATACAAATAAAATGTTTATTTATAATTTTTTATACCCTCGATGTGTTTGCTTAGGCTATACTTGGCTTGTGAGTGCGTATGCAACAGCCCGAAGATTGCAACCCTGAGGCTGATATCTCTCTCCAGATATAGATCATTAGTCTGTCTATGTGCAATGATTATATGGAGTATACCATCTGGACTTAGCTTGCAAAAAATGTTATTCTAGAAGTCCTATTTTGTAATTGAATATTTCGTTTGCAAGTGAAGTACTTGGTTTGGGAACTTGTCTACAAGGCATTATCTTTACAGAAGATTAAAAATAATAATAATTATAATAATAATGATCTATGTATATTTTAAATGTCATTTAAAGCAAAAATGTATTTTTTGAATGTTTATCAACCCAATTTTGAACTAACTTTAGCTACTGTGGGCTGAAGGCCATACGTTAACCGGGGGACACGAACCCGGAACTACGTCGGATTAGTTGTTCATATCAGTTAGACAACAAATTAACCGGCTACTGCACAACTTGCTAAGGTATTGATAACGCTAACGATAAACGTACTGAATTCATACAAATTTATATAGATTCTACTTTTACAGTCCTTTTGTACACGTATGCGTATGCGCTATTCCGCAGCCTGTTACAGGGTATCTGCTAGTTGACACGGACACTATACATATTTTTTTCGAGGCTTTTAGGTGGGCAGTTAAGGGCGTTCCAAAGAGCAAAATATACGCGATGACCACATGCCGGTAATTTATACGAATGCCATTTCACTCTGTACATAGAAGAGGCTCTGTTTACAGTGCGGATGAAAATTATTTGCAAAGCAATAAACACAAACACAAACATACACAAACACATTCATGTGTGCATAGATGTGTGTGTAGATTTTAACATTATTATGGCGATCACTGGGCGATGCACTGGGCGGGCGATAAAAATTGTTTCCACTGCACAAACACATGTTAACATAGGCACACACACACACACGCACGCACACAATCGTCTGTCTACACGCGCTTAGTTTGTTGATTAATAATATAAAGGAAGGGGCGCGAAAGAGTTGACAGTGAACTAAACTGAAACGGCGCAATTTTCGGATTGCCGCCTTAAAGATGTACAAAAAATTTAATACATTTATAATACATACATATAAGAACAGTTGTTTTTTAAGATTTGTTTTCAATTGTTGACACTTTTGTTATTGTGCTTTGCAGTTTTTGTGCACTCTTTTTTGAAAAGAAGAGCTTTATACGTAGTTATAGTTAGTGTTTACGTCAGTTTCAAAACAACATTCCACAGGTGCTATAAAAGCTTTAAGAGAGCAGCGACGTGTTGGCGTTTACAGTACGGTTCACAATATACTGAGCGGCCATTGTGGCGAGTAGCGCAGCGAATGCCGCTAATCGGTTCGGTCAGCTGGTCGGCGCCGACGATGCGCAAGTTGCCCTCGGCCCGCGCCGCAGCACACGACGAAGCGACACGCGACGTTGATTCACAATAACAACAGCAGCTGAATTCAAAACAACAAGTGCACAGAACTCTCTCTCCCT